CCTCTCTTTGCTATTGCATGTACCAGCAGAGTTTTATCGTTGATGAGTGGATATTGTTAATGTTTTACCATGCACATTTCCATTCTACTCTGACTTATGGAATAGAAGCATGGGGAGCATCCTTCAAGTTACAAAGGCTTCTTATATTACAAAAAGAGCTATCAGAACTATTGCAAAGGTGGGAAGGCGCTTTAGTTGCAGGGAACTATTCACAGATTTGAAGATTTTGACGCTGCCTTCAGTATATATATTGAATATTTTGATTTACGTCAAAACTCACCTGAACAATTTTAGTTCTATAAATTCTGGAATTTATAATACCAGAAACAGAGAAGTATTGGAGGTGCCGGCAAATAGGTTGTCTAGAACGGAGGAGAGTGCCAAATACATGAGAATAAAACTCTTCAACAAACTACCCATTGATTGTAAATCACTACCGCTGATATTATTTAAAAAAAGAATCAGGCAAATTTTAGTTGATAAAGCTTTCTACTCTATAGAAGAATTTTTAATGAGTCTTTTTTAATTGTTTTAATGTATTTTCAATTTTAATTTGTTAATTTGTATTTTAATTCGTTTTCATGTTTATACACTTCGTGTTTTATTTGATGTTTTGAATGTTATTTATGTATGTAGGCAATTCTGTTTATACAAATATTCAATTGACTTTTCCTATATCACTTTGTGATCCACAGGATGCATAATTATATTATTATTATTATAGTTTTTTGTTGTTTGTTTATTCGCTGGCCTGTACTCATATTTCATACATCAAAATCAATTGTAACCTCACATTATGTCGCACATACTTCACTTATTACTGAGATTACGTTGTGATGAGAGAAATGGTTCTATCTATGTTGTTCTCACCATAATTAAATGAGCAATTTGCGTAGGTATCAGGTACTAAGCTACGAAAAAAAAAATATGAAGGAATCCCAACACGTATATTTTCTAAGAAAATCACTCTTTCCCTCTTTCCTAGCATCAGACGGCGGGGTTAAACTGTGATAAACCAGAGTAAATCGTCACTTGATAAAGACGTTTTCGTATTTTACTAAGCAAGGATAAATTTTGGTGCCGATAAATATTGTCACTAACGTCTTACCAAAGAAAGGTGTATATCTAGGCCTGAGGGGGAGACTGATCAGTTTAGGGTAAGATCGACTTATTTGTATTGGTAGATATTTATAAATAAAACAAAAAATACATTTTTCAAAAAAGCTTCTATTTAGCTGTCAATGAAATGAACTAAACATGCAAAGATTCATTATCGATTAAATATTTCCAATCGAAAAAAACATCTTCAAGTTCTCTGTTTATTTGATTAACAGCCAAATAGCAGCTTATTTCTAAAATGTTTTCTTACTTCATTTATTTGGATTTTTTTGCTTATTTTGTTTACACAATGGCGATAGATATATTTAAATCAAATAATGATGGATCGATATTTCCCGGCGATGCCCTATGGAATCCAGAATGTCGTTACTCGCTATTATTTGATATCATAGTGGTATTCATTTAAATAAAAAAATCACCATTTTGCTGTGGTGGTCATATTGGATTTAAGATGACGTCACGTTGTTTCTTATATTTCCCTCATAGGGCCCGTTTGATACTTAGTACTATAGTACTCGTAATTATAAACGCAATGGTGGAGTGGTTGCCATATTGGATTTAGAATGATAATACTTTGCTTATCGCGTTTTCTCATGAAACTCTTTCACTTGATATCTATATGAAACTATGAAAAATGAAAATCACCATTTTGGGGCGACCGTTATATTCGATTTAGCATGACATTACATTACTTATTGTGCTTTTATATCGTAATGCTCTTTTATTTGATGCCCTTGTCATAGGGCTGGCTGTGAAACATGCCAATGGCCATTTGCGGCGGTTGCCACGTTGTAATATAAACGGGATGCAATAAATTATTGGGAAGTTGTTAAATTTTAATGATATAAGCAATCAAATAAAACAAAACCAGGGACACCATTAAAATATCATCAAATAAAAACTCCAACAATATATATACTGACTTTGACTTTGAAGTTGAGTCATTAATTTTCAGATAATGATTGTAGAAGGAAGATAAACCAAAATATGTGTGTAAAAATAAAAAATAAATAAAAAAAGATTTTTACTTTGTTTTATAAAGTATCCTCCCGACAAGTATTTCAGTGTGGACCTGTATTTGATCGTGAGGTCTTGGAGCACCGGCATGCCCTCCCCTGTGAGGTCTTAAGTCACCTGATTCACGAGCCCGTTGTACTACATTAACAAAGGCACGAGGGGTGGTTGCACTCGATTGGGAAACCGATCCGCATAAACATGTGCCATTTTTTATTTCGTTTGAGCCACGCAGCAAACACCACTA